CATTTCACTCGCTGAAAAAATCCAAACATACGCTTCTCTTGGCACGTTGAGATTTCGGTATGAACTGAATGTAATAATAACGATACCCAAATCGATTGTAGTAAGATCAATTAGCTTATACACTCAATTCAATATGTTTCTGGATTTATATTCTCTTTTTGATTTGGTGTTTTTGTTTTGTTTATTGTTTACTTCCTCGCTCTTTTAACAAATAAAAACTGTAGATAGAAAAGAAAACTTTATACGTTTAAGCCACTATTCAGGTGGATTTATATTCCATTTCTGATGTATTTTTTCTTTTTGATGTTCTCACTCTTATAAAAAGTTACCGTTGGAAGTAGCAAAGAGCTTATACACTTAAACTGCTCTTCTTTGCTCATATATCTCTTTGAAATTCTCCTCTTCAGAGTATTTTAATCTTGTTTTATCCGCCAATAAAATTATATAAAAACGTATATAATGCTTTTGCGGAAACATTTATATCCGTTCGATATAATTTATTGTTTCTATGTGGTTAATGGGTCATTATTTTCAAGTTCTGTTTGAATCTAGTGTGGCAAAATAATATTTAGGGTGCCACTCATTTCTTTTTTTTTTTTTGTTGAACCACAAATTGCTCTTGCAGCGCGATATCTGTGTGTGTGTGTGTCTGTGCCTAAAAGTCTGTTTCTGTAATATACCTTTCTTGTTCTCTGTTTTTTGAATAGTTGTGTGATGATTTATTTTTATTAAAGATGGGAGGCGCGCTTCGTGTTCCAGTTGCCTACTTGTGTTTGGGCGCCGGTGGGAGCGGAAAAGTTGAGGCCCAGGTGCAAAAAGATGCCGCGACACCACGGAAGCAAAGGAAACAAGGAAATGGCCACCAGCACTTACGTTTCATCAGTTCTGGTATTTATTTGGCAAAAACCACCGGAAAAAATATTTTAGATGTATTTGTGAAAACAGGGTGGGGAATGCAAGGTTTGCTAAGATAAGGTCAAAAATATTTGTTTCTTCTTCTTTTTCTTTCTTACAAATGTTGCCATAATTTCTTGTTCTAAGGGCGTTTTGTTTCATGTGGTCTCAATTCTTTTCTTCTCACCTACAAGGTGTCACAGAAAAGGTGCTGCAGTTCTACGGTGGTGTAACTCCTTTGGTGTAGTTTTTATTTTTCACTTGGGTTGTGTTTTTCCGGTGCGCAGGATGTGGTGCCAAAAAAAAATAAAATAATGTTCCTCTTTATGTGTACATTAAGTGTCGTTGATCTTTTCCATATTATTGCAGACCGATAGTGATGATGAGGAGAGGAGTAGTATTGAGGCAACGCAGAGACGAAGGTGTGTGTTGTCTGTTGCACTGTCGCCTCTCTTGCAGTGGTTTTCTCTGGTGCCTGAAGGGGAAAGGAGGGGAGATGGTAGACCTCACCAGGAGACCCTTTGTGAATGTTGACATTTTTGTGCATGATGGAAAGGG